CGGTGCCCCTGGTCTGCTGGAGACGGTCTCCAGCAGACCAGGGGCACCGGAGCAGCTTACGAACGGGGCTTTCTCGCCCCGACTTCTGGGGCGAGAAAGCCCCGTTCGTAAGTGCGGATCCGACGTAAGTCGGATCCGCGTAAGTCGGGGACTGCCTGTAGTTGGAAGGGGAAGGAAAAAGCTTATAGTTACCATCACTGCCATTTTCTCCCTCACATCTTCTGCAATCCAATCCGCTGATGCCAAATGGAATCTAACTTCTGCCTTACTATTGACTGTAAGTAGAAGAAAAAGAGAAGGAAATGTTTACTTTATCATGCAATTCACATTCAAAAGCAGCTGGTAATTAGTTTGCCATGTTGATTCTAATCTGTGTGCAGTAGGATCACATCCTTTTTCTGCTCTTCTCGGTGCCACAGTTAAAGAAAAATGTTACCTAGGTGTTTAAATGGACCTCATCATGCTTTCCAAATACTACAGTGTTCTCAATTGGAAGGTAACTGCTACTTCCAATTGCAAAGAATAAATTGCTTAATACTTATTTAAAACAATATTTTATCCTTATATTTATCTTTAAAAAAATCTTCCAGTTAACTATAAGGATGTTAAATATCGACTAACTGACTAATCAAATAGTTGATTCATTTTGCATCAACTATTCGATTAGTCGATAGGACACCTCTGCCTTTGAAGTGTAGCAACAACTACAAAAGCAAAAGCGCTGCATGGAGCCCAGGTTAGCTGACTCCCCAGCTGATCCCAGGTTCCACATGGCATTGCTGCTTTGAAATGCTGCAAGAAACCTGATGCCAGACTCCTCACGACATTTTAAAGTGTCACACGGAGCCCAGGTCTGCGGGGGAGTCCTCAGCTGATCCCAGGCTCCACAGTCTGTGTGCAGTCTGAGGACATCCCAGCTGGCCCAAGGCTGTACATGGTGTTTCAAAGCGCCAGCCCCACGTGGATCCCAGGTTCTGGCCCCAAGCTTCAAGTGATGCTGCTACTTTGAAGTATCCTCTCTTCTTTCTCCCCCTTGCTGCCTCTTTCTGATAGAGGCAGCAAGGAGAAGGGAAGCACCTAGTCGACTATCCTGTAGACTATCCGATAAGCATTTGCTTATTGGATAGTCGACTAGTTCTTCACATCCCATGGTAACTAAGGAGTTATTTGTGTGCATTTTTCTCAGCTTGTATCATGCAAACAGACTAGTCAGTTTCATTTTCAGTTTCTCACATATTGCAGTGCTGAAAAGTTCAAAATGTGAATGCTGCAGAGAATTGTTTTTGTTTAAATAAAATGTAATAAAAATAACATTAATCATTTCTACTGGTCTTAAGTTTTGCGATTACTTTTTTTTCCTTTTTTTAACACCCCCTATTTTGGGTTAAGTTTGATGGGCCTGAATGTCCTTTTAAATTTTTTAACTATAATGAAAAAGGAACAACAAGAAGGCCACTCAAATTTGATTAGGCTTTCCAATGTTTTTTAAAAGTCCAAGTTTTCACCTTGTTGTACAGTCTATATATTTTTGAATCCACAAAATATTTTTTGTACCTTTATTAACATTCTGGCCTCCAGGTCCACTGCTCCGGCAATAGGATATGGAAAGGCAATCTGGAAGACAAGAATGCAGGAGAACTTAACCCCTCAGCTAGATCTATAACTAATCACACGGGAGCAGAGAAAAGAAATAATCTGAATCTGTGTGTGTCAATCTTTCCAGACTACTGTATCCCTTGCAGATGTCTGATTTGTCTTGCGTTCCCTCAGTTTCGTCTTGTTTAAACTGCTTGTTTACAAAATCAGACATAAAAATACAGAAGTACCCCAGCACAGTTACTGGAAAACTGCTCACTTTTCTCATTTTTACTATGTAATTACAAAATACATAACACATAAATATTGTACTTTACATATAAGCATTTAGCCAACAGAGCAGTATAAAGAAATCACTGTATGACATTTTAGTTTGCACTTACTTCACTAGTGCTTTCTATCTGGCATATTGTAAACCAAGGCAAATATCTAGAGGAATTGAGTACCCCTCGAAGACATCTGTATATCCCCGGGGTGCATGTACCACTAGTTGAGAACCAGTTAAATGTGGGGATGGGGAAAGAGAAGGCAAGTTTAAAGTGAGATGGTGGCTGTAAACAAACTTTATGGAACCACAGGAAACTTGGCCAGACCCATGATAAGTGGACATACAGCAAACTAAAATAGTGCCAGACCACCAATGTTGGACCAGAGAGTGCCAGACTAGAGAGATATCACCTGTATTGAGAATTCCACCTTATCCTGCCCCACCAAAATATTTTTCTTGCTCAGGTTCTAAAAGCCTATAACCATTTTAGGTAAGATTTTCAGGCTCATTGCTTTATATCCAAGTCATTCTATACTTTAATTGCCCTTCTACATTACATTTACTCCACCAATCCCATTTTCTAAAATATTATAATAATCATATAGCCCCTCTCGTGTAGAAAATAAACTCAGGATTATTACAATTTCTTATCACGTTCTTCCACCCTCTCCTTCTGGTCACCAACACATCTTATGAACAAAACTTATTTTATGATCAATTCCTTATGTTTATGGGTAACTTTGCAATGCTAATGGGAATTTGTTGCTTTTTATTGTTTCTGTACAGGTAAGTGAAATTTCTTAAAATAATCTAATTGACTTACTGGCAATAAAATCCCACTGAAAGCAATTTGGACAACAGAAGAGCATTTCTCCTATATTCTAGACTTACCAACAGGAATGTCAGGAGAGATTTGTTTTGTCCCAGCCTGCAAAATACACACATGTAAGGAAGCAACTGATGTTTGATGCTACAGGAAGCATTTGTGCTATAAAATCAGTCCCAGAGCACAATTTGAAAGAAAATATAACTACAGCAGCTATTGCTACATATCTACTCTATTTTTATAAAGTGGTATATTCAAAATTGACTTGTGAGAACATCCCTGTAATCAGTCGTCTAACCTGGACCTAGAATTACTCTTTCATCTAGTGTAGGTCTCTGAGAGTGGTTTACTGCCGAGGCCTGGTTTATAATTCTCTTCTTTGCACTTTTCACTTATGGTGTCCAAGCTGGATATTTTCTTTCCTTTTGTAAACAGACTAGCTCATTTGTTCTGTCCTACACAATTCTGCTCTACGGGCTCTTTCCACACAAGTTGCTTTTATTGTCTGTGTTAGGCATTTGAAATATACCATCCTGTGACATAGTGGGGACTGGATTCACTGTTTGGGGACTGGATTCAGTTTGCTTTGTTATGCTGTACGTGATTCCGATTGTGCTGTGCTGTTCTGTAGTGTGTGCAGTGCCCAGAAGGGGATGGGATCTTGAGGTGAGAACTCCTAATAGAAGGCACATATGACCCAGACCAGCCTGTCACTTGACCTTACGGGGAGGATGCAAACAGTGATACTCAGATAATACCTGGGACCCTGGAAGCTGGACAAAAGAGGAGGTGGGACTGTCTAGATGGCTGGGACCTGCTGCTAGGTGTGTGGGTTAGTTTTTGGCTGGCTTGGGGAGAAGGGAGTCTAGCTGGCTTGGGGGGCCAGGCTCTGGGCTCCAGTATCCCCAAGATGGACTGTACTAAATGCTTCTGATTCCTGTAACAAGTCTGTGTTACGCTGTGTCCCTGTCAATGAATAAACCTGTTCTACTTGCTTGGTGAGAGTCACAACTGACTGTGGATAAGGGTGCAGGGCCCGGTGACTTCTCCACACTCCGTGACACATGCAGACATTCCATAACTGTTGAACTAGTACAGCTTCACCTTGTCCCTCTCCACTGCTCCCTTTCTTCATAATTAAGTGACACGCCACATGACATTTTTTCAGCTTCTCCCAGACATTTACATCTTTACCATGACAGACATCACAACGAAACTATCGTTATCAACGATGCTGTTATTCTTTTTTTTTTTTTTTTTTTAAATCTAAGAGTCTCCACTTTTGTTGCTGTTGAGGTTCGGCTCCCTGTAAAGTCCAGCACCCAGGACCAAAACAGATCCTCACAGTAATTTCTGTGGCCAAGAGCCATCATGTGAAGATCTGCTGCAGGGCTATTTCTCCAGCACAGGATAGTGTTATAGTGCAATGGCCCACAGGGAGCTTTCTGAAATCAGCTACATGCAGCCTGCAGCTAGTAAAAGGGGGTTTGTTTTGAATGAAGCACAACAGCCCCATATAACTTGCCATCAGCTAGTACAGGTACTTACTGTTTCTGGGCCCCACCCATTATACTCAGGCTATGCCCCCTTCTGTCCCCTCCCATTTCTACCAGGCCACACCCATTGCACTCAGGCCAGGTCTGTCATCTCCGAGTCCTATCAGACCCCGCCCACTGCAATCAAGCCCCGCCCCTCCCGATCTGGCCCCGCCCCTACCCTGACGTTCTGCCTTTTGCCCCCTCCCATGACAGCCCCGCCCCACGCACTTGGGCTCCCTCCGCGGCGTCGCTTCCGCGCTGCTCAGGATAGAGCCTGTCCAGGGCGTATTCGCTCCGGAACTCCGAGCTGGGGGCGGCTCCGGGGGCGGCTCGGAGTAGGATACCGCGGGGGGGCCGGGCGGGGAGCGGCGCCGGCCTCGCGCGCCACAGGCCGCGCAGCACGCGCGCCGCCATCTTGGGTCCTCTGCGTGTGTCCCCTCAAGAGTCCGGCCGGGAAACCGCGGGTGCGCTGGAGGTTCCGGGGCAATTCCTCCCGGCTCGTGCGGCTGTGAGGGCGGGGCTGCGCTTTGCGTGGGGCGGGGGGGGGCTGATGCGGACACTAGGGGCGCCCACGTCGCGTGGCGCCGGCAGGATGACGTGAGTGGCCCGCGCGCTCCCGGGCATTGGCCGCCTACCCCCGTCTGGCCTCGCTCAGATTCCCCCCTCCCCCCCATTCCCAGTCAGGGTGGCCGGGCCACAGCGTGACCCCAGGGGCCAGTTTGCAACGATGCAGCCAAGTCCTGCCCCCATTGCCGGCGAGTGCAGTAGGGATGTGAAGGGTCACGCGGGAAGCAGCCCCCTTACCAGGTGAGCGCTTAACTAGCGGGGCCAGAGCAGCTCCCCTCCCAGCTTCAGCGGGCTGTGAGCAGCCCCCAGGCACACTGGTTTGGCTGGAACAGCGCCCCCCCTACGTTGTGGGAGGGTGCTCCAGCCTGCCAGTGCCCAAGTACCTTGGGCAGGGGGGCTGCTCCAGCTGGGCCCACTGCTCACAGGATCCCAGTTAAACTTACTGCTTAGCCAGTTAACTTTTAAATGGGAGTTTACATCTATAGAGTGCCATGCTGTGTAACCATCCCTGCTTCCCCCCCAGACCTCCCATTTTTGGGGGGCAGGACTCAGCCCTCCAGGCTCCCAACCTCGGGGGACAGGATTGATCCAGCTTGACACCAAGAAGGCTAATGGCATATTAGGTTGCATGAAGAGGAGCATTACCAGCAGATCCAGAGATGTCATCATTCCCCTTTATTCTGGAGTATTGTGTCCAGTTCTGGGCCCCCCACTACAAAAAGGATGTGAACACATTGGAGAGGGTCCAGCGGAGGGCAACCAAAATGATTAGGGGGCTGGAGCATATGACCTAGTAGGAGAGACTGAGGGAGTTGGGTCTGTTTAGCCTGCAGAGGCAAAGAGTGAGGGGGGATTTGATAGCAGCCTTCAACTTCCTGAAGGGAGGTTCCAAAGAGGATGGAGAGAGGCTGTTCTCAGTAGTGACAGATGGCAGAACAAGGAGCAATGGTCTCAAGTTGTGGTGGGAGAGGTCCAGGTTGGATATTAGTGAAATAGTTTTTCCTAGGAGGGTGGTGATGCACTGGAATGAGTTACCTAGGGAAGTAGTGGAGTTTCCATCCCTAGAGGTGTTTAAGTCTCGGCTTGACAAAGCCCTGTTCGGGTTGATTTAGTTGGAATTGGTCTGCCTAGAGCAGGGGGCTGGACTTGATGACCTTCTGAGGTCTCTTCCGGTTCTATGGAACTGCGGAGGATGTGCAATAGTTTTGTGGCTGAGCAGTGTCATGGATTCCAAGGTGAGAAGGGACCACTGTGATCATCAAGTCCAGTGTTTCCCAATTTTATTTGGCCATGGAACCCATTTAAACTCAAAAGAATTTTGTGGAACCCCTAATAACAGTATTATATATGGAACTGAAAAAGTAGACCACAAATAAGTAAGGATAATAATAAACAAATGCTAACTCCAAGGTCATGAGATCGACACAAATGAAAATTGTTTTCAATAAAATTCATAAATGCTTAATACTAATTATTATTTTTTAATAATAACATGTTATTGTAATGGAATTTTCTCGCTGAACCCTTATTTTCACTTTCCGGAACCCCGGAGTTCCCCGGAACACCATTTGGGAAACACTGATCTAGTCAGACTTCGTACACATAACACAAGCCAGAGAATGCTCCCTAATTTCTTTTGGTTTGTGCAATGATGCAGGGGGGTGGTGTGTGATCTGTGATGATGTTGTCTATTGTGCACATGGGGGTGTACGTAGAAGTGAAAATAAGCTGGTGTGCATTGATGTGTCACTCTGGAAGGAAACCAGCTGGCTGGGGCACTCAGCTGCAGTGGGAGGGGTGGCATGCTCTCAGGGCTTCCAGCAGGCTGCAGTGCTCAGCCGCAAGCAGGCAGGTTAGGGGCTAGCTGGGGGTTTGCTCCTCCACTTCCAGGACTGCCTATGCCCTGAGCCAGCTCCCCTGGCATCATTTCAGGTGAGTGTGGTCCTGCAGCTGCACATACTGGTTTACTGCTGCTCTTCTTCCTCTTCCCCTGACTATCAGGGAGACTGGGAGTGAGGGGAAATTGTACTCCCTGCATGCATCCCTCTCCCTCCAGTTGCCCAGGGAAGGGGCACAGAAGGAATGTACGCAGGATGTGCACTTTCCCCTCTATCCCTGATGGTCAGGAAAAGGAAAGAAGAGCAGCAACAATCTGGTATGTGGGGCTGCAGCCCCCATGGTGCCCTTGACCCTTCTGCACTTCACCCAACACACACCCAGTCCTTAGCTCCCTTCCCTGATGCCTGTATCCCCCAGCTTCCCCTGCTCTGATCCCCCTACACTCCCAGCCCCTTGCCCTGACTCCTGAACCACCCACACCCCAATTCCTGACTTCTGGACTCCCACACTGTGACGGCACGTTGGGGGTCCCCCGTCTCCTGCACCCCGAAATGGCACAAACAGACTGCACCAGCCGGTGGAATAGAGGACGTTTATTGCCTCTCCAGGATACAGCGCAGCACAGATGGAGTCTGGTCACAGAGCTGGGCTAGGATGCCTCAGGCCCCCTTGAGATGGGGGAGACTGGGCCCCTAAACTCCAGCTCCTCTCCCTAGGCTGTCTCCTCCATCCTCACAGACAGCCAGCAACCAACTAACTCACTTCCAGCCCTGCCCCCCAGCCAGGGCAGCATTCCACCTTCCTTTGTTCCTCTCCATGGGGGGTGTCTGGCCACTGGTTCAACAAGTTTGGCACTACCTTGGCCTAGTGAGGTTTCCCTTGCTGGGTCTTGCTCCAGACAGCAGGGGTCACCACAGCCCAGCAAGTACCCCCACTACGTCACACACACACCCCCAACCAACTGTCCTGAGCTCCTCCTTATCCCCAAGTTCCTGCCCTGACTCCTGCTACCTCCCCCACATCCCCAGCCCTGAGCCCTCCACACTTAAATGTCTTATAGATACTGTCCCACCACACCTCACCATCCCCCTGCCCTGAGCCCCCCTCCTGAGGAGTGCAACACAACAGTACCTATAAGAAATGCAAATTACTCTCACCCCTAGGGGGTGTACCAATGTGTTTGTGTGCAGATTTTGCCTAGCCACACATTTTACATTGAGCAATGTTTGTTTTGGCAATCCCAAGTGTTCAGATATCTTGCTCTGGGGCCTTCTCTGGTCATCTGAAAAAGTGGGCTGTGCCCCGAAAGCTCATTATACCATCTATATGTTTTATTCATCTATAAAGTGCCACCAGACCACTTGTTTTTTTTTCTGTAACAGTGTTTTCTATGTATGCAAACTTTTCACATAGACCAGGCCTAGTTCTGTAAGATTTAAGAGCCTCATGCAAAGTGGTGAGCATCCTCCATGTCCCTTGAAATAGGCACTGAATTCCTTGGAAGACTGGAGGAGTCACTGCTTTGGGCAGTAGAAAATGAGTAGAATGGTGACAGCACTGCCCAAGCCTCCCACATTTTGGCAGGAGTAGAAATGGTATCAGAGACCATTAAAAGAACCCTTAGTTTAACCTGCTGAATGAAGTCAAAACTGTTGATTAAAAAGTTGGTGCTGAGGCTGCTGAGGTAGGAACAGTGTAACAGGGATCTGAGTTTGGGTCTCTCTTTGGTAATCCCTGTGGAGGCAGCATGCTCTTTTCCTTGGGAAAGGAGTTAAGTGTCTTTTATCATTGTCAAGCAGCCTGTTACAGCTTACATTAAGCAACGCTGATGCGTCATGGAGGACACAGCATTTTGTTTTAATTTAATGTGTATAGTACTACCTTTCCCTACGACGACTGGTGAAATTTACATGCCCCTTCCGGAAAAGGGGCCAGTGTAGACGTAGCCTATGTATGATGAGACTGGGAAGAGAACAGGCACAAGGGAGCTGAAAAGAGTCTATGTCCCCAGGACAAGAGCGAGCAAGCATGAGTATAGCAAGCAGCAGAGTGTGATGTTCTATAGAAGAAAAACCTGGAGCTAACAAATACTCTGTAGTATCCATTCCAGTTATTCTACAAATCACACATGGATTCTCAAAGTAGGAATAAGACCCTCCGGAAAAGGGCACTTTTTCCGGAGGATCGGGGCCAGTCTAGACGCTCTTTTCCGGCTTTTTTAAAAGCCGGAAAAAAGCGGCGGACATTTTTATTTAAATGCCGCGGGGGATATTTAAATCCCCCGCGGATTTCCCTACGACGACTAGTGAAATTTACATGCCCCTTCCGGAAAAGGGGCCAGTGTAGACGTAGCCAGGTTGTTTGGGAATGGTAATCCTGGGGACTTCTTCAAGCAAGCAGAATGTTAGAAATAGTTAAAAAGGGGAAACAAAATACAGGACTATGTAGCACTTTAAAGACTAACAAGATAGTTTATTAGGTGATGAGCTTTCGTGGGCCAGACCCACTTCCTCAGATCAAATAGTGGAAGAAAATTGTCACAACCATATATACCAAAGGATATTGTATCAAAGGATCCATTGTATCCTTTGGTATATATGGTTGTGACAATTTTCTTCCACTATTTGATCTGAGGAAGTGGGTCTGGCCCACGAAAGCTCATCACCTAATAAACTATCTTGTTAGTCTTTAAAGTGCTACATAGTCCTGTATTTTGTTTCAGCTGCACCAGACTAACACGGCTACATTTCTATCACTATTAAAAAGGGGACAGAGAGTAGGACAGAGAATATCTTATTACCACTATATAAAACCGTGGTACACCCACATCTTGAATACTGCGTACAAATGTGGTCCCTTCATCTCAAAAAAGATATATTGGCATTGGAAAAGGTTCAGAAAAGGGCAACACAAATGATGAGGGGTTTGAAATGAGTCCCATATGAAGAGAAATTAAAAAGACTGGGACTTTTCATCTTAGAAAAGAGACTAAGGGAGGATATGACTGGTGTGGAAAAAGTGAATAAGGAACCATTATTT